ATTATGAATGAGGGCTCGGAAATCCTGACTAGACTTCACATCAATGTGGAAGATGGCCATCATCAAGTAGAAACAAGCTGTGCCGAAACACACCCTGTAGACAGCAGAGTAGCCCACCAGCATCTGACAGTCTCCTCCACCATGAGCCTCATCACACACCACATTAAAAAAAGGCACCTGAGGAAGAGTGACCTCTGTTATTGTGTTTCTGTAGGGTACAGACTACTGGCATGTGTAGCTGGTATGTGTCCTGCCAAGCAGAATTAGCCAAGATTTGATTGCATGAGACTAGATACAAATGAAATGAGTTTGGGGTGTTTGCAGCACCAGCGGCGGTACAGTGATAAAAGTAGGTTAGAACCACTGGAGCCTGTGCAACTTGTAAACAACTTACATTCTCCCTCACTGCCTCTGACACGGTCTTAGACAGCATGAGGCATGAGACAGTGCAGGCCAGGATGTGGAATAGCGTGTACATGATCCGCGTGCTGGTTGATGATTTGACGGGCGGACAGAAGGAGCAGCACAGGGAACATGGTGCTGGGCCACAGCAGCAGCATATCTGATGGAAAGAAAAGCAGACCAGTCAGGGGTTGGGATTAGTCGAGATCACTCAAAGCATCTGGAATTTTCTGATGGATCAGGGCTGGTTGCCTGGATGAGGTCCAGACATTTTTTATCCTCAGCTAAACCCAGAAGCATAGATTGGGCTGAAACTCAATTCCCACTGACTTTAAAGATTAATCTTTTATGAGCATAAAGGATTTGAAATGATAGCGGCATGTGTTATAATGAAAAATCTTTGAGAAATTGTTAACATGTGATTCAATCCAATATCCTGTTGCAGTTATTCACTATTTGAAATGCAGGGAAAAGCCATCAAAACATATAGTAATTCCCAATGGAAATGTAATGGAAATTGAAAAAAAAAAAATCAATTAGCACAAGTTTTGTATTTCTTTTTGGAACTAATCGATTGTGGGCCTCAGTGATCCGAGTTTATGCTCCTCAGTTTTTGAGTGAACATGGCCAAAATTGTACACAAATAATGCTTTTTTCACTCAAAAACTGAAGTGCAGATCAGTGAGGCCTATGATCAATCAGTTCCAAAAAGAAATACAAAGCCTGTGCTAACTGAAAGAAAACAAGTTGACCAAAATATTTGGTGATAATACAGCATAATAAGAGATTTACAAGCAATTTTTAAAAGGTTGGCCATTTTTGACTACAGCACAAGGGATAATTCACCCATAATTGTGTATTCTGTCATTATTTACTCACCCTCATGATGTTCAAAACCTGGCTTTCCTCCTTCTCATGAACACAAAAGAAGATCAGTGAATGAATGTCATGGGGGACCAGCATTGTTTTAGACCTCACTGATTCATTGTATGGACAACCCATTTTGACCCATACAATGTTTTTTTGGCTATTGCTAAAAACATACCCAAACGACTTAAGACTGGTTTTGTGGTCCAGGGTCACATCTTGTACTTAAAATACACTTGAGACAAGCTGTCTAATTACTGTATAACTCAAACTGCTCTTAATAAATCAGTGGCAATATTCCTACAGCGGATGAAAACACACTGACTCTTAAAGCTCATGATGATAGAATGAGGCATCCATGATGCCTGTGCGTTTCTGTTGAGAGAGGAGTTTTACCTTCTCATACCAAACAACAACTATAACAACTGACCAAATGATTTTAACAGTGCAATAAAAACAGTAGTCTTCTAAAATAGTAGTGGAATTAAAGAGTAAAAGTGATTGTTATATTCTGGTGAATAAACTCAACCACTATTACATAGTTATTCAAATTAAATGCACTAATGCAGGATTAAATAGTTAATACAAATAAAATGAGAAATGAGCTGAGTACTAAGAGTGTTATGCCAGAGCATTATGACAACCTATAAACACAGTGTGTCACTTCACAAGCTTTCCAATCATTTTCTCAATGATACAACTAAAGCCACAGCCAAAAATGCTGCAATCCAGTACCTGAAAATGTTATAGTCATATGATAAGTAACATAGGCAGGTTCCTTATGTTTATCATTCATCATAAACTGTCTTTCAGTTCTATATTCTACAAAGGCAGATTAGGTTCTTGTAAGAGAAGCTTGAATAAATCTTTTCTTGTATTCCAGTGATCAGAGAATTATGAGAAATAAGTATCATCTGAAAAACCTGACGTCATTCTCACATCTCTCCTCACTATGAAATAATTTCCCTCTCTCCCTCTCTCACCTGATAAGCCACCATGTTCAGGAAATAGTTGTAGACACCGCTTTGGTGAAAAGCTTGATCAGTCGACATGGCTTCTTATTTTTCAAGGACGCTTAGTCATTAAAACACAACCTCCAGAAAAAAAAAAAAAAAAGTATATGCTATAACCAGTCAGGGTCAGAACACTGTATTATCTGTAGGAGCTCAGCTTTACAGGAAAGAGTCCTCAGCTAGTTTCTCCTGCAGGTGTAGTTCCACTGATCCCCATCTGCACACCCTCATGTTGCTCTCGTGGGAACATCTGAACATTCTTCCTATATCCTATACGAGCAGCCTGGTGGCATCGAATGGTGCCAGGAGAGTGTGTGAGCAAGGGTGGATGCCCAGTTGCCTGGACTCTAGATTAGGCAACAAGAGCAGCGGGAGGAGGGGGCAGGTTCTATGTGTTGGCCCATCTGTCCCTCCCTTCCCCCTCGCTCCAGTGCACCAGCGCATCCTCATGCACAATAGGATTGCTCCAGGGTCCTAATCGGTTTAGGGTTAAATAATGAAATTATACTTGCGATATTGTGATTTCTCTCACAAAGTAGACAAACCTTTAGATCCCCCCTTTTGACATCTTAGCAACCGTTCACTTGTCTGACTTTATATGTAATCTGGTCATTATGCTTTGACCCAGACACTGAAGGGTGCAATTGAAGAGGGTGTTTGGAGGAATGCACAGGAAGAGTGGCACAGGTCCAGTCCCGCATTCTTTTGCATACATTGACCACAGCCTCATTGTACAATTGTACATTGTACATTGTACAACTTCACATAATAAGTCTTCGAAATCAGAGACAGATTGTTTCAGTTGTTATAATGAAGTGGACAGGAGTTGTTAGCGTGCAGAGCGGCCGGTAGCTCTATATTTAGGTCAGTGTGTATTTGTGAGGATGTGCACTGGGATTATCCTGGAGTTTTTAGTCCTCGTCTCAGCCTGGGTGACCTTCTCTCTCCGGTAGAGTGACACACTAATCCAGACAGCAGGGTCTGACAAACACAGTCCCACTTGAACTCATCATCAGCCTTCAACATCGTGTACAGACATGACATCGTACATGACATCGTGATTCATAAATCACACTTGAAATCACTCAAAAGTAGAATTTGTTATTATTTACTCACCCTCATGTCATTCCAAACCTGTATGACTTTCATATTGCTTCTGCGGAACACAAAAGAATGCATTCTAAAGAAAGTTGCAGTCCAAACACTGGACCACTTTCATTTTATGAAAATAAATATTTCATTTTATTTTTCACAGTATCTTCTGATTACACTTTATTTGGAAACACTTTATTTTAAGGTGTCCTTGTTACACGTTACATGTACTTACTATTATAATAACAATTAATTATGCATAATTACATGCAAGTAACCCTAAGCCAAACCCAAATCCTAACACTAACCATAAAGTAAGTACATGTAGTTAATTAAGATTACTCCGTACTTGTATGTATAATTACACTGTAAAAAGGACACCTTAAAATAAAGTGTAACCGTTTAGTTTAAGGTGATGTTGTTACACTGTAATTACACAAGCAAGCACTGAGTAATGTTAATTAAATATATTTACTATAGGGTTAAGGTTAGAGTTTGGTTTAGGGTTACGGTTATAGCTAGTTTACTGTTGTTATTATAGTAATTACATGAAAATACACTCTAAAAAATGCTGGGTTAAAAAGGGACAAACCCAGCTATTGGGTTGTTTTGACCCAGAGGTTGGGTTGTTTTGACCCAGCGGTTGGGTTGTTTTGACCCAGCTATTGGGTTGTTTTGACCCAGCTATTGGGTTGTTTTGACCCAGCGGTTGGGTTGTTTTGACCCAGCTATTGGGTTGTTTTGACCCAGCGGTTGGGTTGTTTTGATAACAATAGCTGGGTTTGTCCCTTTTTAACCCAGTGCTGGGTTATATTTAACCCAGCATTTTTTAGAGTGTAATACTACATGATGTTAAAATAAAGTATTGCCTGCCTTCTTTTGTGTTCTGCAGATGAAATAAAGTCATACAGGTCTGGAATTATATAAGGGTGAGTAAATGATGACTAAATGATAAATTTGAACCATCCCTTTCTGTCACCATTCTGTCACCATCAGGAAAACATTCTTTCATGTAAAACTGAAAACTTTTTTCTTGATATGTTATCTTCAAATGTGGCGAAACTGTCAACCCAGCTAATTGATTGTTCTCATAGCATTAACTTTCAGAACTTTCTGGCAAGTTCTTCCAGTAACATTAATAGAAAGTTTGCTCCAAGTTATCTGGCTTTTAATAACGTTCTCAAAACTTTAGCAAAAATGTTCTTTATGAATTGCCCATGGAACTTTTTTCTGGAACATTTTATCCTTGACATGTTGGGTTCAGCCATAGCACTCTAGCACGAGTGACTCAACGCATCTGTCAAAGATATCCATCTAGCTCATTTTTTATATAGAAAATCTATTAAAAAACAGTGCTGTGAAAACCAAACTTTTGAATATGACAGTCACCTGTACAAAGATGTTCCAATCAGCTAATGCTCTTTAGGTCTGATGCAGTAATTTATTGATGTCCCTGAAAATCTGGCAAGGAAATGAATAGCAGGATGTGATTGTAAATAGAACTGCGTGTGCAGAAGCTTTTGAAAGTGAGTGTTTGAGTTTATTGTTGTTTAAGTACTTCTCTCAGTAAAGACACTGCGTACTATTTCAGTCTGGAAACAACTTTAAAAAAAATTATTGACAGTTCCACAGAGTCTTGTGGCCAAAACGTTGCTGGACGCAATATCATTACATAACACTGTTGGTGGGATGTAGCTATTAGAGTGGCAGCACATTACAGCAAAGGCTCTGTAGTATTCTCTCTTAAGAAGAGGAAAAATCTATAAAATATGTTATGAGAGGAAGAAATTTGTCTGTTTTGTAACTAACGTTCTGCTTTATTAATCAACATTATTTTTCTGTAAATAGGTGCATAGCAAAAAAAAAAAAAAGTGTTACTAGGAACTGACTGTTTAATTTAGCACCTTTAATCCCTGGTTAGCTAAATCACACAGGTATGAATGTTTCTAAACCAATTAGAGTCTTTTAAAGTATACAGAGTGTATACTCAATGAACCTATAATCTCTCTCTTAGAGTGAAACACCCAGAATGACTGGAGGTCTTTTCACTCAATAATTGGGGGCCTTGTGTGAGAGAGGAACACTAGCACACTGTTCAAACAAAAGCATGGCTGACAACATACAATGCAAATCACTCAGCTAGGCCCATGAGAAACATTTGATCCATGTTATTTCATGGGCTTTAGAAGAAGTGAGGGGAAAAATTCCTGCACAGACGCATACAATTCTACAATCTGGCCTTCACAAGAATGAACGTTTACATTCATGGAATGACCAACAAATAGGGTCATAGTTGCTTGTGGTATTAGATCAAAAGATAATGTTAAATGTTGTCACTACATTAACTTTGTGTTTTATGAAAAGAGATAAAAGGAGATAAACAGATAAATAAATACATTCCAACAAAAATGATTGTAGAAAATATAATAAATAAAAAACAACTAATTACAGGTGCATCTCAATCAATTAGAATGTCGTAGAAAAGTTCATTTATTTCAGTGATTCAACTCAAATTGTGAAACTCGTGTATTAAATAATTTCAATTCACACAGACTGAAGTAGTTTAAGTCTTTGGTTCTTTTAATTGTGATGATTTTGGCTCACATTTAACAAAAACCCACCAATTCACTATCTCAAAAGGAAAAAGAAAAGATGCACCTGTATATGTACAGAACAAATATGTGCTGTGATAATAATAATAATAATAATAATAATAATAAATAATATAACGCTTAAAGGAATGGTTTGTTTAGTCCCTTCTAAATTGTGTCATCATAGACACAGGGTTTCTACGGGTCTTAAAAACGTCTTAAAAAGTCTTAATTCGCCCTTCCACAAATTAAGGCTTTAAAAAGGTCTAACATTGGAGCAGAGACATTTAACAAAATTGTTTATACTTAAAACAAGACAAAAAAAAAAATCTGTCGACAAGGTATAACTTGATTCTGCTTTGAATTAAGTGTACTTTTCTGACCCCATTGGCCGATATTTGTTTTTGTTTGAATCATAAACTCATTTCATTTTGATCAGTTTCTCAGAAAACTTTGCGCCTCAGTGTATCTTGATTTAGGAGACTTTAGACATTTGCAATGGAAAACAAGACAGAAATAATGAGGAAAAGCATCACTTTTTGCAGTGTGATCAGAAGGTACATTAAAAGTTATTTCCATATTCTAGTTGTTTAAAAAAAAAAAAAATTAAGTAAAAATTAATGGCGATATTTTGGAAGCTGCATTTTCAGACTTTGAAGCGTTGCTAAAAGAACTCATTGTCTGCTCCTTAGACTTTTACATGTACATAATTTTATTGTATTGTGTTCCCTTTAGTATATTCCTCAAATTTTCTCTGCATGCCCTCTTCATCTATTGACTAATTTACAGCCACAGCTCAATCCCATCCTCACTGAAGCATGCTGCCCTACTAAATTAAAAATCGAGCTACATTTTAGGTCAATCTCTAAATGCTAAAGCTCACACAGTGCTACCATCACATGCAGGAAAGCTTACTTGGGCCCAGCAACAGTGACAACACATCGCTTCCCACTGATCCGGCTGTCAGAGGAAATCTCCAAGTCCAGTGGCTGTCAGAGATCAATCGTACAGTAGAATGAACAGATTGGTAATGATGGGGAAAGGCTTCCTATGAAACCTTTGTAACATTCCTCAAAGATTGTAAACATATTACACAGAGAAGAGCAGGTGCTGCACTTCTGGTGTGCTCTGAAAAGGCTTCCTTTTTTGTTAAGCTGATTACGAGTTGAGGAGGAGATAGAAAACCCAGGTGGAAGAGAAAGGCACGTAGTAACAGTGTAGTAGTGTTTGTCTTCAGTAAACCTATTAAGGGACAAAAATAGTTACGAGAAAGCTTTTGAAAAGAGATAGAACACTTCTGAACCTATAAACAACATCTGTTTGTCTATAAGCGAGGCTGTATAATTGTGTATAAACATGGTCAGAACTGTCTGATGATGCTTACAATTTAATTGTGATGAAAAGCAGCCGACAAGTGTCACTTGGACTGAATTCTAAAAAAACATCCCAGAATGAATTTGGTTGAGAGAAGGAGAATTTGTGTTATCTTAAAGTTTTAATGACTTGACTGTTTTTATCACCCTTTGCCTGAAGGTGGACAGGGCTTGAGCAATGGTTTCCCACTATTTGTGTTGTGTTTTAAAAATATTTCTCCTGATTTATTATTAACCCATGTTGAAATTTACATTTTAGAGAGTGTTATAGATTATTATTATTATGTTCTTTTACTTTCTGGATGACTGGGATATGTCTATATATATATAGGGTAAGATGGGGTAAGCTGAATATCATCATTTCATCTTAACATCAAAATTTATCCGATTTAGTTTAGGTTTGAGATTAATTGATCTAATTTTGTGTTGTTGGAAAATAGTGATCTGTAACTAGGGATCTGAATATCGAAAGTTTTTTGTGTTTTCAGTTGCCATTATGACATATCTTGAATGAACATATGGTCAGTTAAATATATAAATATCCACATGCCTGCATATAAGTCGCAGAATAATTTTAACTTTCAGATGAATCTTTTTCACTGGGATTCTGCTTTGTCTGTCACCGGTTATTCAAATTACACTACACTGTCAAAATACAAATTACAATAGAGAAGTTGATTTAGTATTTTACATTAATGACGCTTTAAAAATATATAAATATTAATAGGAATTATATCAAAAGTCATCTTACCCTTCTTTTAATATTTTACATTTTGTGCTGTATCTAAATTAGGAAGTATTTACATTGGCTGATGCATCATATTGCATTTGCTTTGTATCTAAATATGCTACAGCTTAAAAATAAATTGTGTATGTTATTTATTTATTAATATATTTTAAAACACGTGACCTCTATAGTGTGTTACATGAATCTCAGTCCGGGTGTTTCCGTCACTGTTTTGCGTTCCGGCTGCGTGAAGAAGCAAACATGGCGGCTGAGGGAGATGTGGATTTGGACCTGGAAGCTGAGGAGAACTGCACGGGAAAACCAACAGAAAAGCCCCGAAAACATGATAGTGGAGCCGCTGATTTGGAAAAGGTTACCGACTATGCGGAGGAAAAGGAAATATCAAGCTCGAATTTGGAAACGGTGAGTTAATATAAGTGTCAGAATCGACTGAAGCTAGTCAGGCTGAGTAACCATGTGCGGCAGGACTGGACTTCTGTGTTAACACGGACTGTGATACGACCTCTGTATTAAAACGCCATCATAACGGTTTAATAGTTTGGTGTTTCAGCAGTGGATTGATCAGCCGGTGTTCAGAGTGAGCAATGAAGAGAGAAGTGAGGGCGTTTCAGCTCACAATATCTTCCTTTGCGTCGCCACGCAACCCTTATAGGAGATGCTCAAGCCCGAAAACATTTGCCTATGAATGCTGTTATTTTTAATAAGCCTAGTCCTTGTCTTTGAAGGCCATGTCCGTGATCGGAGACAGAAGATCCAGAGAACAAAAGGCGAAACAGGAAAGGTGAAAATGTTTGATGTCTGATTACTGTCATTTGTTAGATGACTGTGGTTAATAAATGATCATGACAATACTCATTTTTATCACTTCTACAGAGAAAAAGAACTAGCCAAAGTAACAATAAAGAAGGAAGATGTGGAACTCGTTGTAAGTATGCAAAAGTGTATTTCCATGCGAGATTCGTGAATTTGATGTGGAACACAATAAACATGCTAACAATCTTCCTGACAGATGGGAGAGATGGAGATTTCACGAGCAGTGGCGGAGCGCAGTCTCAGAGAACACATGGGCAATGTGGTGGAGGCGTTGATTGCACTGACCAACTGAGTGGATTTGACTGCTTTGAGATGTATGGACACATTGGACTGCCTTCTTCCTCCTTTTGATATCCCTTTTCTTTTCTCACTGTACTTATTCTGTAATAAAGGAACCTTTTTTAAACAGTCTTTACCAGTACCACTTCCCTCTTTACATTTATTAGAAGCTCCAACTCTCTTTTTAGTAATGCATTCCAGAACGAACCAATGCGATCAGTGTCATAGTAATTTATTGCTGTAAAACAAAAAGTAGATTATCCCATTAGAAACGGTGGACCTAAAGCCTCAGAATTCTGTACACTCAATGAAATGTGTAGATGCATACAATCCAAATGCAATAAAGATTTGATATCTTTGTTGTGAGGTTCCTCCAACACTAGCAAAACAAAGGCGAGGGGAGCAAAGAAGGTTAAAAGAGTCCTTGTTTGAGCTGAATGTGCTGTTCTAGCATAAATAACAAGATTAAGTCTTCCTCTTGTGCACTGTTGGCCGATCGAACACGTCTCTCACGCCCCCTGCCTTCTGCTTGAAGAACTTGCTGTTCTGAGCACTCTCCTGAGCCCAGGCAGAATCAAATGAAGTGGTGTCCTGATCCACCAGATGTGTGTATTTTGTACGTCCGGAACGTCCAAAGTTTTTGACCTACACAGCACATTGAATAATTAGTCATTTTAGTGTTACACATGGATGCTAGACTACTGCTAGACTTTCTAAAACGGGTTCTACACTCTAGCCCTCGAGGTTCACTTTCCTGCAGATTTCAGCTCCAACCCTAATCGAACACCGCTGAACAACGTCTTCAAGGTTATTAGGGAATGATACAGGCAGGTGAGTTTGAGCAAGCTTGGCGCTAAACTCTACAGGAAAGAGTTTACAAGCCCTGTTCTAGAAGGTAGTTACTACATATAACTGCACTTTCAAACTTAACAGATACAGAGTCCCACACATGACATGGGGAAAAATATGTGTATGTATATATATATATATATA